AGGAAAATATTTAAGTTAAAAGTAAGTGATAATGGAGGATACCTTATTATATGTGAGTCAGAACCGACTTGATGGTACTTTAAGTCTCAACATACTCAGCAATGGTCTCAACATACTCAGCAATGGTCAATTTGTTGCACTGTGGTAGCTTGCATGTTGCTGTGTTGCTGGAAGCTTTGCCACTGGTATTTAAAATACCACAAGGTCACCCAAGGTGAACAGAGTTCAGCTAAGCTTCCAGACTAAGACAAACTGGGAAGAATGCAAGATGGACTACTTCTGAAGGTTTAGTCACTGAAAGCCTTATGAATATAGTGCTGGGAGATGAAAAAATTATGAGTCACACCAGAATATTTTCAGACATAGTGCCAGAAGATGAGCCCCTCAGATTTGAAGGCACTCAAAGTTTGACTGGGAAAGAGTTACTTCCTCAAAGTAGAGTTGATTGTGATGATGCAAATAAAGTAAAGCTTTCTAGACCTTCATTTGCTGATGGGACACAACTCAAAATGAGGAGAAATTGCTGTAAACATCCATTAATAATAAGAACATGGAATGTACAAAGTATGAATCTAGGATCATTGGAAGTTGGCAAAAATGAAATGGAACGCATAAAGATTGATAACCTAGGCAATAATGAGCTGAAATGGACTGGTATTGGCCATTTTGACTCTGACAGATTGAAGAGGAATGAAGTCACATTCATCATCAAAAAGAACATTTCAAGATCTATGTTAAAGACAATGCTGTCTGTAATAGAATAATATCCATACGTCTACAAGTAAAACTGGAAGCCTGATGGTTTAAAGGGTAAACACTGGACTATGAACCACAACATTGGTGGTTTGAGTCCATCAGTTCCTCTGTTGGAGAAAGATGACACTTTTTGCTCTTATGAAAGATTTTAAAAGCCTAGACACAGTATACAGGGTCACGGTGAGTTGAAACTGACTCCACAGCACTTAAAAACAAGGAAGACCAGTTAATAACACTATTAAAATTTATGTACCAATACTGAAACTCAAAGGGAACACACGAGCAGGCATGTAAACTTGCTGGTGACCATATTGGTCTACTGGCAAGTGGAAGAAGAGGAAAGGCAGCAATGAAGAAATGGGCTGAGTTCAACCATGTTCCATAGACTCCCATTGACCTGAAGATAGGAGAGAGAAGAGGAAGATGGTCCAAAGTGTGGTGAGACCTGGGGCTGCCTGAGCCCATGGACAAGGACATAAGCCATGGAGGGCTAGAGCTGAGAGTGAAGCATCCAGCTGATAAGAAGTGAG